AAGACTTAAACTACTTCAGTCTGTGTGCATTGAATTTATTTAATACACGAGTTTCAGTTGAATAGTTGAATTACTGAAATAAATGAACTTTTCCACGACATTCTAATTTATTGAGATGCACCTGTGTATATATATATATATATATATATATATATATATATATTTAAAAAACTAATTCAAATTATTCATAAAAACTATAATAATACCTCAATGATACTAAAATTACACTAAGCTGAAGAAAAAAGTTTACAGTTTTTTTTTAGTTAGCATTATATTTCAAGTAAAATGTTTTCATGGTTTTGGTTTTAGTTAAACCCTAGTTTTATCAGCTAAATATTTTGTTGTAAAAAATTTTTTCAATTGAATTAAAAAGGACTCAAATGAATAAATATGATGATGAAATACTGAAATTTTTATCAATAATTATGACTAAGGCAAAAAAGTTGAAATGTAATGTCTTTGTGTTTTTGTGCTTTAGACCACGAGAGTAGATGTGTGTTCACCTCATCACTGCTCCAGCGGTTGGGGAAAGATGGCCGTATTCTCTTAATACAGACCACCTCTCGCATGTCTTCATATGACGGGTCATTAGGAACGTGATCATGATACGGCAGCTGATAGTCCTCTACGATACCTGCGGAAACATCCGGATAGCAATCAATGCACAGACAGAAAAAAACAAACATGAATCAGATCTCTTTCAGATCACAAGTGGACCTATTATACAACACATTCGTTATACAAAAGTTTAAAAAAAAAGTTTTATACAAACCAGGGTTATTACTGTTAATTAAACTAAACCCAAAACCATGAAAACCTTTTGTTATCTGAAACAAAATATTTGAAAGTAAACATTTTATTTCAGCTAGTCGCCAATGCAACATTTCTCCAATTCAAATGCAACATTTTTATACTGATGTACTAAGATAACTAAAACTGAAATAAAAAATTATAAATATAAACTTTAAAAATATATTTAAAAATTACTAATATAAACAATTTAGACGTACTTAAAAAAAAATTAAAAAATGAAAAAACACAAAATTAGAAAAAGTTTAACTAAAATTAAAATGAAAGATGTAAATATAAAAATAAAAACTAATTCAAACTATTAAGAAAAACTACAATAGTATCTAAATTATTCTAAAATAACATTGATACAAACAAATGAATGGTGACTTTTTTCATTTTGCTTAACACCTGACAACAATTAAGAAATTATTCCTATTATATATTTATAAATTAACTGTACAATGAAGCATAGTTTAGTTAATATTAAATCAATATTAAAGTAAACATAATAAATATTATATAAAAATATACATTTAATATGATAAATATTAAATCAATATTTAGTCAATATTAAGACATTAATTTTCTTTAAATATAACAATTAAAATATATTATAATTTATAAATTAATATTTATTTAATATTAACTAAACGATGCATCATTATAAAGTTAATTTATAGATTATAATATATCTATTTAATATTGACTAAACTATGCTCCATTATACAGTTAATTTATCATTTATAAATATTATAAATTATAATATATTTTAATAGTTATATTTAAAGAAAAGTTATAAGTCTTTATTGAATAATGACTAGATATTTATTATATTAAATGTATATTTTATATCATATTTATTATGTTCACTTTAATATTTATTTAATATTAACTAAACTATGCATCATTATAAAGTTAATATAACAAATATATAAAAATATGCATTTAATATAATAAATATTAAATAAATATTTTGTCATTATTAAATAGACATTACATTTTCTTTAAATATAGCTATTAAAATATATTATAATTTATAATATTTATAAATTATAAATTAACTGTATAATGAAGCATAGTTTAGTCAATATTAAATAAATATTAAAGTAAACATAATAAATATTATAAATTTAATATAATAAATATTATAAAAATATTTAGTCAATATTAAGACATTACTTTTCTTTAAATACAACTATTAAAATATATTATAATATTTATAATTTATAAATTTACTTTATAATGATACCTAGTTTAGTTAATATTAAATAAATATGAAAGTTAATATAACAAATATATAAAATATACATGTAATATAATAAATATTAAATAAATATTTAGTCAATATGAAATAAAACATTACTTTATTTCAAATATAAATATTAAAAACATAGTAAATATATAAAGCAATTGAGTCATCAGTGATCCACCACATATTAACAGGTTAAAGGAAATCTGAATGTAAAGGTCTATAAATATTAGACTGCAAATATAAACGTTTTTTAACATTTTTCCAAGACTAAATGATCTGAGTGATACATCCATTAAGGAATGTTCAGAAAAAGAACGGAGACAAAGCTGATGTTGTGTTGTATTAAAGGCAGAGCTGTACCTCCAGACACACACCGGCGGCCGATCTCCCACAGAATGAGGCCGAAGCTGTACATGTCGGCCATGATGTAGGACTGAAAATGGTTCCTGTTCAGAGTCTCGTCCAGAACTTCAGGAGCCATGAAGCGTTTGGTGCCCACGCGTGTGTTCAGCGGGATGTCCACTTCATTAGTGTCGCTGTTTGATGAGACACAACAGTGTTTCAATCCTCATTTCATCAGCATATATTCTTCACATCATTTTCAAAAACATGATGATGCTACTTTGAAAGTGCACTTTACCAAGCTCGAGTCAAAATACCCTTTTGAAAAAGTAGTTAGCTACACTACAATTTACTAATAAACTACACTGTAGATATGTAAGGGGCAATGTAAGGGGGCAGTCGTGGCCTAATGGTTAGAGAGCTGTGGGTTCGAGTCTCAGTACTGGCAGGGATTGTAGTGAATGTACAGCACTCTCTTCCACCCTCAATACCACGACTGTAGAATTTATTATTCATATTTTGAATTAGCTTTTATTTTGATCATTTCAATTTTTGTTTAAAATTTTAGCCATTTTTTTGTCATTTTTATTTATATATTTTTTAATATTTCTATTTAACTTCAATTTATTTTCATTTCAGTTGTAGTAATATTACTACTTCAACTTAAACCTCTTTTATTTCAGTTAATTGCCAAGGAAAGGTTTTTTTTATTTTTAAGTTTTAATGTAAGCTGAAATAAAATATAAATATTACTACAGATGAAAAGCTTCATTAGTATTTATAGATTATAAAACAGTATTATAGAAAAATATTTAATTATCAAAGCAGTATGTATTTGATCATTAATAAAGATTTTTTAGGTCTGATGAAAGAATAAATCTAAATTAATCTGTGTTATTTTTGTATTATTTATATATACGATTGTAGTATATTCATTTGAATTAGCTTTTATTTTTAGATTTTCAGTTTTCATGGAACATTTTTGCGGTTTTGTTTTTGCCATTTTGTCACCCGTCATTTTTTTTATAGTTCTATTCAACTTTAATTCATTTCTATTTCAGTTTTAGTCATTTTAGTACATCAACTTACTTTTATTTCAGTTAACTGCCAGGGCAATTTTTTTTTTTTTTTAGTTTAAGCTGCAATAAAATAAAATATAAATTTTAATATAGATAACAAACTCAATGTAAAATAATGAAAACAATTTTAATAGTTTTAGTTAACAATAACAACACTGATATACTGTATATGTAATGTTGTAATTATAGAACAGTATTTAACTGAATTTAACAGTATTTAATAATCAGAAGTATGTATCTGATAATTAATAACAAAAAAAACTATGAGGACCTTAATCACAGAGACAGAATTCAACTCAATATGCACATATATTTACACTAAATAGTAACCAATAAAACTAAACTAAATATTTTAAACAATTATTTATGCAGCCAAATTGAAAATAGTGACAATCAGCTAAGATTGTGTACTAAATATTAGTATTCTTGAGAGAAATAGGCCTTTTGTGTACATAGAAAAAGTCTTAGATCTTTGAGTTCAGCTCATGAAAAATGGGGGCAAAAACAAAAGTGTTGCGTTTATAATTTTGTTCAGTGTATATATACACACATAGAACAAAGTTTAAAAAACAAATATTTATGAGTAATGTGAACTTATTTCATTTCCACTCAAAACTTTAAAAAAAATGTAAATTCAATTTTTAAATTAAAATTAAATTAAACAGCAGGGATTCCATGACTTGATGAAACTACTGATACTATTAAAATAAAACACAAAAAATATTAAACATTTTATCTGTTTACCTGTGTGTCATGTAAATGTGTTGTTGAATTACTGAAAAAAAATTATCTACTCCAAGTAAATATTTTATGTCAAAGAGGTTTGACTGACAAAAAGGTCTGGGAATCCCTGTTCTAGAAGAACAAAAAGATTAGCAATTATTGCATGAATATAGTCCTAATGTTTTTTTTTGGCCCATCCTTGACCTAAGTAGTTAAACTGACACGACACTTTATTTTATTGAAAGACCTTTGTTAAATTACATTAGAATATATATAGTGCAGTGGAGATATTTAAACATCTATTGTTATGAAGCACTGACTCATTTGGCATCGAACAGCAATACAAAAAATAACGAGTTCCTTTATTCACCCTAATTATACACATACTGTCCCCTTAATAGCTTCAGTGAAATTTAATATTTTTATTAGTGCACCTAACTACTTTTTCAAGAGGGTAGTTGAATAACTTTACATTATGAGTTGCTTTAGCTTGGCAAGCACTACCTTTCCTAATAATATTCTGTGTATTTGCTACATTAATCGTATAATAGTAGCATGTGAATGTAAGGGTGTTTGAGAGAGAAAGTCTCACCCAGTATATTCTCATGTCTCATGAGCACAGTCTGATATATCTCTGTCTCTCTGAACCAGCTGGCCTCCTCTGTGGTGAAAAAGACTTTCACAGCTACTTTCTCTCCCCTCCATCTCCCCATCCACACCTCTCCATAACGGCCCTTCCCGATCTGTGTCACCATCTGGATCTGCTTGGCTATAGTGCGCTGCACCTACAGACACAGACATACACATACTATACAGTCAGATAGATCGATAGACATGAAGTGATTGATCATACACAGTAAGAGCAGTGATATTTATTAAGAAAACAGGATGAATGGGGCAATATGAAATCTGTTTTATTTTTTTATATTTTGTCTCATTTTTTTAATAATAAAATAAAATATATATTCTGTGTTTTCCATTGTAATTTTGTTTCAATGGTTTAATTAAATTTAAATAATAAAAAAAGCATGTCTAATTAATTCAATTCATAAAACTTTTTAGTTTTATGGATAGTTTAACAATTTCATAACTTAATAAAAATAAAACAATAATAATAAAATTGTATTCATTTTAACGTTTTACGCTGTAATTTTCTGGATTTAGTTTTAATGGTTTAAGAAAATTTTAATAATAAACAAACAAATGTCTAATTATGACATTTTTCAGATTCAGTGTTGTCTTTTCATTTTCTGAATTGTGTGTTAATCAAATTAGTGCATACAACTTTTAATAGCTACACTTTATTTCCATAATCCACCTTAGACATTCTACTAACAATAATTTTGCAACTGCATGTCAACTAGCAATTTGCATCTAACATTGCAGTTGCAATTAACAATTCTTTTTATTTTTTGCACCAAAAAGTTTTACTTTTTAAATGAAAACAGAGATGAAAAATTGTGCTATTTTGTGATATTTCTTAAAAAACAATGTTTTATTAAATTTCATCATCATTATTATTAGTACTACTACTAATACTACTTTGAAATACAGTACATTATACTGTACAATTCCAATACATTTCTTTCATAATTTCCTCAAATTAGACCAAACTTTTATTTTGGCGGGTTGTAATGAAGATTTTGATGTGTGTATTAATTGCACCACTCATTCACTCTGAGACACACTGACTTCATATTGAATAGTAGTCTTTTTGCAGTTTAATAATCACAGATACTAGTTCATGTTTTGATTTGATTAATTGTACAGTCCTACTTTTGATCTATTCATCCAAAATTCCATGACATTCCACATTATACAGTAAATTCCTTTTTTTTTATGGATTCCATGATTCCATCCGTGTTTTCTGCATCACAGAAATCACAGGGCTCTATGTAGATGCTGATTTCATGTGATCTGTGACTGTGTGCAGTGTGTGACTCTCACCAGCAGGGGGAGTCCTGACCCTGAGCCGGAGCTCTGGGACTGCTCTATGAGATCCCGCAGGGATTCTCCCGGAGGAATGAGCGTCTCATCCGGATGCAGGCCGAGGCTGTAGCGCGGGACTAACTCATGCCGCTTATACCTGAAACACCACACAGACCACTTCAACACCAGACTAACATGACCAAAAGTCCTGGGGATTTATATTGCGGTCACAATGATAAAAAAACAGCTACATTAAAAAACAAAGATCATTATAACAATGTGGCCGATTAAAGTTTAGAATAAGGGTTAATCTGGTCTCATATAACCAGACACTGTAGTTCATGCTGACCAAAAGTTCATAGTCATTTTAAGGCAAGAACTTCCCAAGTGAAAAGGTTCAAAAGTAACTGATGCCACCATGCTTCCCTAGTTGAATGATTACATTAAGAATTGCAATCATTTATGAATTACAAGTGTTCTGAAATGTTACGTTTGCCATGTAATGCTATGAGGCAATATCGAATTAAATAAACACTCATTTGAAAACACTTCCAGAACAGAAAACTGAACATTGGATAAAGCCAGGTTTTGTTGACTTATTAGATATATTGACTTATTTTGTATATCTCTTTTCATCAAAGAAGTCACCATGTTTTTAAGAATAAAATGTTGCATAAAATAAGGAAAATTATATACAAACAAACAAACCCCTTTGTAAAACCTTCTGAATAGGAATAAAACTAAGGTTTTGATGTAAGTGCTGTGTAAGTGAAAGAAACTCATACAAGTTTGGAGCAACTTGAGGGAAAGTAAATGGTGACAAAATCTTAATTTTGAGGTGAACTATCCCTTTAAGTAGCTTTATTTAAGAAACTGAAGTCTGTGTTTGTGATTGTTTGGTAACTTACACACCTGAAGTAACAGAAGATGATGATGAAAGTGAGGATGAAGCTACAGACGGTCACTGAGATGAGCAGAGCAATATGATGAATGTCTCCCACCACGTAACCTGCACACACACACACACACACACACACGTACGTATTATTACATGTCAAAGAGCCAACGGTTAACACACAACTCTTACATCATCACACTGACTCGGCTCTATGAACACTTCCTTCAGGAGCTGTGCGTGTGTGTGTGTGTGTGTGTGTGTGATGCTGAAATCAGAGCTACAGCACAGGTGTAAGGGTGTGTGTGTGTGTGTGTGTGTGATGCTGAAATCAGAGCTACAGCACAGGTGTAAGGGTGTGTGTGTGTGTGTGTTGCTGAAATCAGAGCTACAGCACAGGTGTAAGGGTGTATGTGTGTGTGTGTGTGTGTGTGTTGCTGAAATCAGAGCTACAGCACAGGTGTAAGGGTGTATGTCTGTGTGTGTGTGTGTGTTGTTGTGAAAACAGAGCTACAGCACATGTGTGAGTGTGTGTGTGTGTGTGTGTGTGTGTGTGTGTGTGTGACGGACAGAGAAGCTTCTATTCTGCTGTGTTGATTGAGGTGAGTTGTATCATGACAGCCACAATAAACCCTACAGGTGTGTGAGAGTTTCTAACCTATATATACTTTTGGGAACAAATCACACATTTTTTCTAGGAATGTTGCCCAAAGGAAAATACTACAGAGGTTAAATAATGTTGTTTTTTTGTTTTTTATTCACTTCAGTATGTTTTTGAGTTAGTCTATAGTAATCCAGACTAGATTATTATTATATACTAATATACTATTATAGTTTTAATATTTTGAGTTAGATTTCATTTCTATATTCAGTTTTTATTTTAATTTTAGATTTAGTCATTTTTTTATTACTCATTATTATTATTATTATTATTATTATTATTATTATCATTATTATTATGTTATTTTTTAAGGCTTTCTTTTATTTTCATTTCAGTCTTAGTTTTTTTATTTCCAGTTTGCAATTTTTGTGCAGTTAATTTCACATTATTCATTTAGTTTACATTTTTCATCTTACATTTTATATTATTTTTTACTTCAGCTTTATTTCAATTAACAAAACTATTTTTCATAGTTTGAGTTAACAATAATAACCCTGTTGCCAAGGCTTTGTTATGTAGTTTGAGTGGATTTTAGCACATTGCTCTGCAGTTGCAGTGGTGTACTGGGCTGCTGCCAAGGCATTGTAATTTAGTTGCTAAGGTGTTTTGAGTGGTTGTAAGAATGTTGCTATGTGGTTGCTAAGGTATTCTGTACAGTGGCCGAGAGAGCTCAATGCGCTGCAACTTAAGAAAACACATGCAAATAGAAAGAGCACCAGCAAATTAAGAAAACATTGTATTTGCAGTGCTTTTCTATATTTGGTTGTGTTGTGAGTTTTTGCAGCGTGTGTGTTGTCAAACTGATGAAGCAGTTTCACAACACATGCGCTGCAAAAACTCACAACACAACCAAATACAGAAACGCGCTGCAAATACGCACAATGTGACCAAATGCAGAAAAGCATTGCAAGTAGCACAGACCACAACGGAAATGTTTCAAGGGGAACCCAACAACCCTTACAACATTAACCATGTTTTTATTATAGTAAAACTGTAGTAATGATGCTTTTGGCATTTACCATTACCTTTTCTTTTTTTTTACCATTTATGTATGCAGCGTGTTTCTGTATTTGGTTGTGTTGTGAGTTTTTGCAGTGACGTGTTGTCATTAATGTTTTCTTAATTTGCTGGTGCCTTTTCTATTTGCATGTGTTTTTTCATTTGCAGTGCATTGAGCTCTCTCAGCCACCATAATTCTGAGAGGTTTTTAGCATGTCACTATGTTTCTACTAAATGGTTCAACTTAGAGTTAGAAGTTAAAATCACTCAGCCTAATTATTGACAATAGTAATAATGATGCTTACCTACACAAACACCACAAAATATCTTCACATTTTAGTAAATTTAAGTGAATCTGTGATTAGACTGGCAGATGGGTGTGTGTGTGTGTGTGTATACAGTATAAAAAACATTATGCCTATGGAGAGTCCCCACAAGGATAGCTGACCAGACGTGTGTGTGTGTGTGTGTGTGCACTCACTGGGTGTTCGTAGGGGAGGCAGTGTTGGATGTAGGTCTCTGTTACAGTAGTCCTGATCTGTGCAGCACTCGAGCGCTCGCCGCTGTTTAGAGTTCCCCGTGTCCTAAACACACACAAACACACACTATACTAACACATCAGTTATCTCAGGTAGTCAGTAACAGACACAACGACACTGAAACACTATATGCAACTCATTGAACTTTTGTAGTGTGACATTTCGAATGAAATGTTCATTGCTTGTTCAGTGTTTACTGTTTCTAAGCGAATGTTCAGCATCAGGAAATGTACTGTAAGGGCGGGACTCAAAATTGGGAAAAATAAGCTACATAAAATATATATAGAATAAAATAAAAATTTTAAAAATATATATATAAAATAAAAATTCATTAATATCATTCTTCATTGTCCACGTGGCTTTGGCAGAAGGGAAAAAAAACATTTTAACAAACAATTTTTGCACAATAAGAGCAGGGGCATGCATTATGAAAGTAAATATGATTGATTTTGATTTTTAATTGTTTTATGTTAAGATACAGGAGAGTGTAAGGCAATAGTTCACTCAAAATAAAACTACTTTTATGGAGATCTTTGGGTGTGGGTTTGGATTTTTGGTTTGGGGTTTTTGAAATAAGTCTCTTCTGCTCATCAAGGCTATGGATATAGGAAAAACAGTAATAATGTGAAATATTATTACAATTTAAAATGTATGATTTAATAACTTCAAAGCTGAATTTTCAGCATCATTACTCCAGTCTTCAGTGTCACATGATCCTTCAGAAACCATTCTAATATGCTGATTTGCTGCTTAAGAAACATTTATTATTATCGTTAATGCTGAACACAGTTGTCCTGCTTCATATTTCTGTGGATTCCTTGATGAATAGAAATTTCAACAGAACAGGGTGTTTAATTCAGTGAGTTACATAAGGCTTTTGTTTAGTCTGTGCTTGAAGACTGATGCACTAACACTTAAGTGGTTTATTTTGGAAATTAGAGCAGTTTATGACTCACTCGGCACTGAAACTCTGATCCGACCAGACCCAGACAACCTGACGTCACCACAGCCGCTCCACCCTCTTCCTCCACCATGGTGAAGCAGTAACCATCCGTCCTGAACACACAACACACATGTAATGCCATGTAAAGTATGTGTGCAAGTGTACGTAAGTGAGGCGGGATGTGTCCTGATACCTGCATGTGTTATTAGTGGAGTCCTCCGGACAGTGATGGTAACAGTAACACCACAGGAAACGCTGAGGTAGAGCCGGCGCATCACTTCCTGTCTCCCGACGTTCTTCCACCTTCCCAGGATTCCTCAGCAGCATGGTGTCCAGAACATTAGCTGGTGAGGAAGAGAAAGAGAAAATGGGTCAGTTATCATCCTGTAGTATCTGTCAGAAACTCACACAACATTTATCCAACTCAAAAATGTGCTTTATTTCATTCCTTCTTGTTTACAGAGCTGAATAAAACTGAATAATTCCTACAGATTTCCAGACTCTCAGGATCAAAACACACAGCTTTGAAGTATGAAATGTATGGCACCTGGGGAAATATGGCTGCAAATATCACATCATTCTCACTATTTCATCTTCAAATATTTGCACCCCGAGACATTTTATTAATTAAACAAAGAGATGGAAATGAAGTTTGGACAGTCTGTCACTTGTTTTGGAGCGATATGAAGAGGTTATTTGAGATGTTTGTTTAAAGAAGGGCTTCTCAAACACTCTGAACGGCTGCTGAACTTGTGAGCAGGTAAGCATCAATGATAGACTCGCTAAAAGTAATATTGATTTGTTTGTGTAAAACATTTTTTTAAATGAAAATTTTCATTGAACAATCGAGATTGTTTGATCAAACAAATAAAACTACAAAAATACAAATGATTATTACACCACAGTCAGTATTCAATCACAATATTCATCAAAACAATTAAAATACAATCACACAGCCCTAATTTGAGAAAACTTCTCATGGTTCTCAATATTACACACATACTGTATATATATATATATATATATATATACCATGAGAAGTTTTCTCATATACAGTATGTGTGTGTGTGTGTACAAACCTACAGTTTACTAAATTTCAAGGTCGCTGCTTAGTCCTATTTGAAGTTAGGAGCAGAAGCGCAGTGTTTTTAAAGCATATTTCATAAATTAATTGCATTCTAAAGCACAGTATAAAAAATTTAAATATGTGATTTGATAAAGAACTCTGATCAAAATTAGAGAACACTTACAGATTACCACCAAGTTATTTGGTGTTAATCTGGCACCTGGTGCTAATTTCCATAATTAAATGACAAACCCTATTTAACTGGCAGCATTCCTCCAATTTTCACTGAGATTGCAAGATGGCCAAATGATGGCCAATGGGATGACACTTTCAGCCACTGCAAGAGAAGCTGGTCATTCCAAATCTGTCCAATTCCAAATGACACCAATTCATTCAAGTCCCCCAAAAAGGCTGGTCATCCACATAAGACAAGTGCACGAGAAGTCAGGATAATGCAGAGACTCTCAATGGGGAATCGGTTCAACACTGCAGCTGGAATTGCTTGGGAGTTCAGTGCTAGAGTATGTGAGCTTAGTGAAGTGGCAACAATTTCCCCTCCGCGCTCCAAGTATTCAATAGTCACCCCGCTCCACTGATCAGAAATGCCACTCCGCCTTCGTTCCATGACCAAATTTGCAGCTAAAGTATTTCAGTACGTTTTGAAATATCACAAATTTCTGATCAGAACTTATTTTAAACGAAAAATAAATACACAATATTAGAAGAATAGTTTTAACATGATTTATTGGAACACTGCAATTAGCCCAAGTCAATATTAAATTACAGTTTATCTCACTTGTCTATGTAGCGTCTCTCTACTATGGTGAAGCTGAGAGTTATTTCAGAAACAAAAAGTTTTCCGGTTTAAGCTGATAAATCACAGGACAGCGTTGACAATAACTTTCGGCACTCCTGAATATTTCTATGTGCACGCGACCTGTATGTTATATGCGAGCTTGTGTGTTGTGCACGCTTGCAGCAATGTAGCAGCACATTAGTTAAGAGGGAGATTAACTACCTGTACAATAAACTGTTTAAAACTTGAATTCTAAGTAATTACTGGTTATTAACCTTACAGTAATGCAGATACAATAAATATTGTTGTTCAGCATGAGAAAAAGGATGCAATATTGATGTGCGCATGCGCAGTAAACCCTGGTAGGACAATCTGACGGGCAGGATAAAATGTCAGGACACCGACCACATGAACTCATGCTTATCACATCGGTCACATCACATTGCGTGGCGTGACAAAATACAATATATTTCTATTGTATTTTGTCACGCCGTGCTGCTCGCATCCAGTGTAGAATAGAACCCATTATAATCAGTAATGTTGTCTACACTGGATGCCATAAACTGATGCCTCGTTCTATTTATGACGTGCTGACACAAAGCTCAAATGATTTTCAACGGTCGCTTTGTCGAGTCCTGTTGCGGCACAGACACGGTGTGTCAGCATAGTTTGTCAGTACAGTCAGTAACGTAGCAGATTGAAAAGTTAGTATCTTTCTGCAGTACAATAGACGGCAGTGCGGTGGTGGCTTGAGTCTGTTGAATGGTGATTTAACGCTACGTTGTCACCTAGTTGGAAAGACTCAATGTTAAGTAAATAAACAACAATGTCCTCGTCTTTTACTCTCACAATGAGCTTATCATATTCGTTTGCTACATTAGTAGGGCCCTATGTTTCCGCGATGCAGAAAACATGGACAGAATAGCGCAATCCAGTCATAAAAACGGAATTTACAGTATAACGCGGAATTTCATGGAATTTGTCTTGTTTTTGATGAATAAATAAAAAACAGGTCAGTACATATATATATATATACTGTGTCTGTGAATATTAAACTGCAAAAGACTTATTTAAATACGAATGTTCTGCATGTTCATTTGATTACCAGAAAATACACAACACAGAATTTGTGAAAAAAAATTATTATTATATTATTCATTATTATTATTTATTCATTTTAGATGTTTACATTTGGAAAAGCTGTGCTTCCTGCATAAACCTGGCCCTGTTGGTTTGGCAGAAGCATGCTTGCCTTACACAGTTACCTTGTTTAATTTCTTAATTCAAGTTATATACAGAGTTCTGGCATGAAACTCTAGATGGCGCAGTCTATATGGTTATAAACCATAATAACCTTGTTGAGAGCACAATTGTGCTTTTGTCTCCATGAGCGAGACACTTAACCTGGAGTTACTGCTGCTGTAATTAGTGCATGCTAAGTCACTCTGGGTGAAAAGTAAGTAACACAGAGTTACGATATAGGGCTGTAAAGTTGATGTGTGTGTGTTTTCCTCTCCCACAAGAGCTTGTGCATATGACCGAACACACACACATACACACACACACACACACACACACACACACACACACACACACAGTTTTAGACAGTCACAAAGGTACTTATAGAAGCTGACCATACACCCTTCAGTCAAAATAACTCCACATCTGTGAGCTGTTACAGACAAAGTTTACTGTTAAGTGCACTGATGTCAGACTCATTTTGAATAATAAAGTTTATTGTTAAATTGTTAAATACCCTGCATCCACTACATAGGCCTATGCTTGTCACATCATTATAAGTGTTTGATCACCACATTTGAGTTATCATTGCAAAAAATTTGTTTATGTATATATATTCTGTTTATGTAGGCTATATGCTGTATTCTATATACAGTACCAGTCAAAAGTTTGGACACACGAATGGGAAGTGTGCCCAAACTTTTGACTATACTGTACTATAATATAGCCTACACAAAGAATATCGGCCGATATATCGAAATCAGTCTTTTTTTAAATCCCTAATATCAGTATTGGCCCCCAAAAAACCCATATCGGTTGGGCTCTAATAATAATAATAATAATATCCATGAATTATTGCCATTGTTTATTTTGGCAGCCTGAATGAATATTAAATATGTCATATAAATTTTAAATATGTTGAAAAACCTAAACATTTATTTAAACTAGTACAAACAGAAAAAATAAGACAACAAATCTATACTGGCATGACAACTTGAATAAAAAAAAGAAATTGAAAAAATTCAATTCAATTGAAAAAAATATGGTTATAAACCATAATAACCTTGTTGAGAGCACAATTGTGCTTTTGTCTCCATGAGCGAGACACTTAACCTGGGGTTACTGCTGCTGTAATTAGTGCATGCTAAGTCACTCTGGGTGAAAAGTAAGTAACACAGAGTTACGATATAGGGCTGTAAAGTTGATGTGTGTGTGTTTTCCTCTCCCACAAGAGCTTGTGCATATGACCGAACACACACACATACACACACACACACACACACACACACACACACACACACACAGTTTTAGACAGTCACAAAGGTACTTATAGAAGCTGACCATACACCCTTCAGTCAAAATAACTCCACATCTGTGAGCTGTTACAGACAGAGAGGGGGTGCTGAGGAATGCTGTATTTAATTTTTACATCAGGACATAAAATAAAGATGCTTATTTCATGGCTCTCTGGAACACTTCATTTTGATTAATCGTTTGTGGCATTCAGTGGTCAAATATTCTTATAATATTGATAATCATGTTTATATACAGTAAAAATTGTATGTAAAAATGTAACACTCATTTTTGCCTATATGTACATGAACTAATAACCAGTAAATAATAATAATAAATAACAGTAAACACGATAAAAACAAATAAATTAATATATTTCATAACATAGTTGAGAAACTATCTGCAAAGTCTGGTTCACGTATGTTTAGTGGAAACCCATTTAAACAGACAGGCGATGATAAATCCAAAGCATACTTGTAAAGCATGCAAAAATACATAAAAAAAACTTTTAAAAAGTCTTCTTTAATAATATAATATAATTTTATAATATAATATATTTATAATATAGTTTTTACATAATGATATTAGTGTTTCATAGGACATTAATAAACATATATACAGTTCAGTTCAGTTTGTGTGACGCAAATTACATCACCAAAAATGTGTGCACGTACTTGTATAATGTATAACGAGTGGTTCCCTGCATTATTTTAGGAAAACATCTTGTGATTACAGTATTGGGCTGCTCTAATGCGCCATTAAAATGAACAGTGAAAGTAACAAAAGCTTATATAATACAAACAGACAGGCGATGATAAATCCAAAGCATACTTGTAAAGCATGCAAAAATACATAAAAAAAACTTTTAAAAAGTCTTCTTTAATAATATAATATAATTTTATAATATAATATATTTATAATATAGTTTTTACATAATGATATTAGTGTTT